CTCAGCCTCCACATTCTGAGCTGCTGGGCTCTTTGTTGGGGGCTGGGGTGGGGACCCACATGGTTAAAATCCTCTGCAGCATCCCTGCCTCTATCCACTAGGTGACAGTAGCTTCCTTCTCTCAGTTGTTAACAACCAACAATGTCTCCAGACATAGTCAAAAGTCTCCAGGAGGCGGTGGGGGGCAAATCCACCCCTGTTGAGAACAACTGATGTAGTTTAACTAAACCTCCAACAGCATCATCTGGGGACCTCCTTAAACTTCGAAGTTTCTGATTCAGTAGCTCTGGCAGCATCTGAGGATTTGCAGCTTGAACAAATCCCCAGGTGAGGGCACTTGTTGGGATGAGCCCTGGGTGTTAAGTGATGAATCACTAAATTCTACTCCTGAAACCAATACTAAACTATAAGTTAACTAACTAGAAGTTAAATAAAAACAGGAAAAACAAACAAGTTCCCAGGCAATGCTAATGCTACTGGTGTGGGGACCCCACTTTGAGAACCACCTGTCCAAAACCATTTGCAAAGTATATCCCTGAAAAAGTGTATTTGTTATTGAAAATATTTCACCACCAAATAAATGAATAGTCAAAACAAGCAAATCCATGACATGGTAGTTTTGTATGTACACCTTCTTCCCACACACCCAAGCTGAAATGGAAGCTCAAATGACTTTCCATTATTAATACATGGCCCTTAAATATTATTTAAACAAAATTACTCTTACGCTGCCGAGTGGAAAATCTCTCATACTTCTTACTCTCCACATCTCTTTATGAAATTTTAAAATTTATTAGACCTTCAGATCTCTCTTGTGATACAGGAAAGGTGATGTTCTCATTCTTTCTGCTTTCCACAGTTACTAGAATGAACAGGACAGATCAAGAGTTAAAATGAATGATACTCTCCCTCACACAACAATGGAAAGGATCATATCTTACAATGAATTTGAAAACTCTCTGTGAGAGAGACAGAAATCCTGAAGTCCTGAATACAGAACTTTTTGATAGATGTTGATATTCAGAAGCTGAAACAAATTCGTTTCTATGGATGAAAGATTCTATCTTGTTACTGCCTAGATTTTAAGAACTATTAATGTGTTTCATTCAAGATGTACAAATAGTACCTCCTTAGTCTCTTTTGAAATAGATTTTAAATTATTTTAAAGTATTTTTGTTTTATAACTCTGAGATTCACTTTTAGGATTTTGTATTCTAAAGTAAGATTTTTTTAAGGAAGACTTTTTTCATTAAAAGAATGACTTGCTTTTATTCAAAGATTTTAAAGTTTATAATGCTAAGTGTCCACAGTAAATACTTTTAAAGCATTGTTTTGACAAAATACACCATCCATTCTTGATAAAAAAAAAAAAAAAAACCTTCAACAAAGTAGGGATAGGTGGAATATACCTCAACATCATAAAGGCCATACAGAAAAGACCCACAGCTAATATCATCCTCAATGGAGAAAAACTGAGAGCCTTTCCCCTACAGTCAGAAACAAGGCAAGGATGCCCACTCTCACCATTACTATTTAACATAGTACTGGAAATCTTAGCCTCAGCAACCAAACAACAACAACAACAAAAACCCAAAGGTGTTCAAATGAGGTAGGAAGAAGTCAGACTTTCACTATTTGCAGGTGGCATGATACTCGACGCAAAAAAACCAAAGACTCCATCAAAAAATCACTAGAACTAATACATGAATTCAGCAAAGTCACAGGATATAAAATCAACATGCAGAAATCTGTTGCATTTCTATATGCCAATAATGAAGCAGCAGAAAAAGAAATCATGGAATTGATCCCATTTGCAGTTGCACCAAAAACAATAAGATACCTAAGAATAAACCTAAATAAAGAGGTCTGAAAACTCTGAAAACTATAGAACACCTCTGAAAGAAATTGAAGAGAATACAAAGAAATGGAGACGCATTCCATGCTCATAGATTGCAAGAACAAATATTGTTAAAATGTCTATACTACCCGAAGCAATCTACACATTTAATGCAACCCCTATCAAAATACCACCAGCATTTTTCACAGAACTAGAACATACAATCCTAAAACTTGTATGGAACCACAAAAGACCCCCAAATAGCCAAAGGAATCCCGAAAAAGAAAAACAAAACTGGAGGCATCGCAATTCCAGATTTCAAGCTATATTACAAAGCTGTAGTCATCAAGACAGTATGGTACTGGCACAAAAACAGACACATAGATATATGGAACAGGATAGAAAACCCAGAAATGGACCCACAACTATTCGGCCAACTAATATTTGACAAAACAGGAAAGAGTATCCAATCCAATGGAAAAAAGACAGTCTCTGCAATACATCATGTTGGGCAACATATAGAAGAGTGAAACTGGACCACTTTCTTGCCCCATACACAAAAATAAATTCAAAATGGATGAGAGACCTACATATGAGACAGGAAACATCAAAATCCTAGAGGAGAACACGGGCAGAAACCTCTTTGACCTTGCTGCAGCAACTTCATAGTAGACACATTGTCAAAGGCAAAGGAAGCAAAAGCAAACAGGAACAATTGGGACCTCATCAAGATAAAAAGCTTCTGCACAACAAAGGGAACAATTAACACAATTAAAAGGCAGGGGCGCCTGGGTAGCTCAGTCAGTGACGTCTGATTTCAGCTCAAGTCATGATCTCACGGCTTGTGAGTGCGAGCCCCGTGTCAGGCTCTGTGCTGAGAGCTCAAAGCCTGGAACCTGCTTTGGATTCTGTGTCTCCCTCTCTCTACCCCTCTCCTGCTTGCTGGTGTGCTCTCTTTCTCTCTTTCTCTCTCTCTCTCTCAAAAAATAAATAAAGACTGAAAAAGTAAAAAATAAAAAAGAGAATGGCTAAAATTAACAATACAAGAAACAACATAGGTGCTGGCAAGGATGCAGAGAAAGGGGAACCTTCTTGTACTGTTGATGGGAATGCAAACTGGTGCAGCCACTCTGGAGAAGAGTATGGAGATTCCTCAAGAAACTAAAAATAGAACTACCCTAGGATCCAGCAATTGCACTTTTAGGTATTTACCCAAAGGGTACAAAAATACTGGTTGGAAGGGGCATGTGCACCCCAATGTTTCTAGCAGCACTATCAACAATAGTCAAACTATGGAGAGAGCCCAAATGTCCATCGGCTGATCAATGGGTAAAGAAAATGTGGTATATGCATACAATGGAATATTACTCAGCCATCAAAAAGAATGAAATCTTGCCATTTGCAACGATGAGGATGGAGCTAGAATGTATTATGCTAAGTGAAATAAGTCAGAGAAAGGCAAATACCATATGATTTCAGTCATCTGCGGAATTTAGGAAACAAAACAGATGAACACATGGAAAAGGAAGGGAAGGGAGGGAGGAGAGGGGAGCAAGCCACAAGAGACTCTGAATGATTGAGAGCTAACTGAGGGTCGCTGGAGAACAGGTGGATGGAGGGTAGGCTAGATGCATGATGGGTACCAAGGAGGGCACTGGTAATGAGCACTGAGTGTGGTATGTAAGTGATGAATCACTGGATTCTACTCCTGAAACCAATATTGCAGTGTATGTTACCTAGAATTTAAATTAATTAATTAATTAATTAATTAATTAAACGTAACAATAAAGCGATAGGAAGATCAGCCAAGGGGAATTATCCCCCATGATGTGCATTTCATAGCCAGTCTCAACGGACAGGCCTCAATTCTGCCCTGCAAGCCAGTTTTCAAGGCCTACTGAGACAATCAAAGGTGAAAACATTTCTCTGAGTCTTTGATGCTTAGAGTGTGGTCCCGAAGCATTAGCATCATCCGGGAGCTCTTATGAAATTCAGACTCTCAGGCCCAACCCAGACCTATTAAATCAGTGTCTGCACTTTCACAAGATTCCCAGGGAGTCGAAGCGTTGCCTAGGTGAAGCTGACCATTCTTTAAAATGGAGTGATTAAATAGAAAAGGCCAAAATCAATTCTTTCTACAAACCAAACCAGGCCCATTTAAAGAAGCTCATAGATGTTCAGTTTCAATTTAAACCATTTTATTGAAGATACATTGTGTATATTAAACTTCTCTGAATTTTTAGAAACAAAATGATTGATATCGAAGGCTGGCCTATTAGTAAATACTACTTTTTCTTTTCATATTAACTTTTTTCAATAAAAAATTATATAAAAACTATACCTAAGATTCCCAATAGACAATATAATAAGTAAGAGAATTCTTTTTTTTTTTTTATTCTCACAACATTTTATTTTTGGTTTTTGAAATACAAATCAGAATTCATTTTTATTACATATCATGGTAACAAGCTTAACATTTCTTTGCACTACAGGATGATGACTTAATATACATACTTTCAAACTTCCTTTTTAAAAACAATACATTTTATTTTGGAAGGAAAGGGCTTATTAAAAAGAAACATGGGTACACAAGCTGTTATTTTTCATTATTTTAGTGTTTACAAATTCAGAAATTGGGTAGCATGCCCTCTGACAGAAAATTTGGTCCTTTAAAATATATAGGTATTCCTCCTGTAACAAAAATAAAGTTGCAGCGCACATTGTGAAAAACAGAAATATTTGGTATAGGCTTCTGAGTGGGCTTGAAAGACAAGTCAGGATGTGTTTCGACCAGACAGGGGGAACACTTGAGAACCTCCCTAGGAACACCCGGCGGCGACAAATGGCCTGGGGCTACCCTCACAGGGGACTCGAGGGTGCAGAGGAGGGTGCCAAAGACTCACAACAGCCACACAATCGCTTACTCGAAATTAACCAAGATTCAGTATGGAATCATACACAACAACAGAAGAACAACCTCAACAGTGAATTGATGCCTGGAAAGCAAGTCGCAAGCTTGGACCCAACACCTCAGCAGAAACGATATTCGACAGGTTTATAGGACGCCGAAGACGAGCAAAGATTTCCGTAATCCACAGATGGTGCTTCGGGCACGAGTACATAAGCTTCCTGGGCACTGGGAACAAGCATGAGACGCACACAGAAAGAATGAATCTGAGCTGCTTAACTCTCCACCATCCTCTTGAGTATTAAACCCAGGCCACCTTTGGCCACTCGCAGGGGTGTCTTTTCTTCTTTATTCTCAATGTAAATACTTGCTCCTTGGGACACCAGAAGTTTTGCTTCTTCCACTCTCTCCTCATCATAGGCTAAGTGTAGAGGAGTGTTACCCTCAGTGTCTTGGATATTTGTGGATGCTTTGTAGTACAGAAGGATATGAGTCATCTTCAAGTTACCCTTGGCTGCCGCCCGGTGCACTGCCGTGGCCTCATAAAGGTCCTTCGCATCTGGATTCGCCCCGCCTTCCAGTAACATGACGGCGATCTCGTGTCTGTTTTTGGAAGCTGCATAACGTAGGGGAGCACAGCCATTTTGGTTGACTGCATTCACTTGGGCACCTTCACCCAGAAGGGCTTTTACAATCTCATCCCGGCCAGCAGACGCAGCAATACGAAGCGGAGACCAACCTGCATCATCTTTATCATTCACGGGCACTCCAAGCTGCAGCAAGAATTCAACAATTTCCGTGTGTCCAGCCGAGCAGGCCCAATGCAGTGCAGTTCTGCTGTCCTGGTCGGTTCTAGTAGCCAGGGATTTATCAGCCAGGATCGTCTCCTTCACTTCCTCCAGCTTCCCGCCGTAGGCCAGGTTGCAGACCATTCTGGGGTTCGATACACACCCCTCCATTTCGCTTTTCCAGGATATCCGTCAAGTAAGAGAATTTTTAAGATCTGAGCTTAATTTGGACAAAATTTGCTTTAGAATTTGAGTCTAGGGGCGCCTAGATAGCTTCGTCGGTTGAGCGTCCTACTTTCGCTTAGGTCATGATCTCGCGGTTCGTGGGTTCGAGCCCCGCGTCGGGCTCTGTGCTGACTGCCAGCTCAGAGCCTGGAGCCTGTTTCAGAATCTGTAACTCCCTCTCTCTCTGACCCTCCCCTGCTCACGCTGTCTCTCTCTCTCCTAGAAACAAATAAAACATTAAAAAAAAAAAAAGAATTTGAGTCTAGATGATTTTTTTGATTCAATTTTGTCTGAATTGAGGAGCTAGTTAACTAGATATGTTCATATACACAAGCTGGCAATTTAATTTTTATTTTCTTGTTAAAATATAATTTCACTGGTTTTTTTTTCCTTCCTCTATATTTCTAAAGTGCTATTTAGTAGGTCAGTAACACTGATTTAAAATACCTTGAGGTCATCATGAGAATAATTGATGTAGGAACAGTTGCTTTATTTTTTCTACCTTCAGAGAGAAAAAACAGTGATGTTTGTGTAATCCGATTAGGAATTATTTTACTTTGATGGTACTAACTGAAATACAAATCCATTTCTGTTGCATATCTTACTTTTTGGATCTCATTTAACATTTCAAAAGCCAAGCATTGCATTTTAACAACCAGTAATTATGTAATTATAGTCTGTGTATGTTTACATGATTGAAAGGGTAATGGCACAAGACAAATGTCTTATAATTAATTGAATGTTTTATATGAAAAAAATAGCAAAATGATTCAAGGCTAAAATAAGGAAAATTTGCAAATTTTTTAAAATAAATTCGCTGCTTCAGCTCAGGTCATGATCTCAGAGTTCATGGGTTCGAGCCCCGCGTCAGGCTTTGTGCTGACAGCTAGCTCAGAGCCTGGAGCCTGTTTCAGATTCTGTTTCTCCCTCTCTCTCTGACCCTCCCCTGCTCACACTGTCTCTCTCTCTCTCTCTCTCTCAGAAATAAATTAAAAAACATTAAAAAATTAAAATAAAATAAATTCACTGCCTTTTCCATTTAGCTATACAAATATAAGAAGGATGAAAATGGGAAATGGATAATTCAAGCAAATATTTTATGACTTACTCATGCAAGAGCTTTCTTTCCCATTCTGGGTATAAGGAAGTTGATCTGAAGATTTAAAAACAGGGGTTTTTTTTCAGGCAAAATTAATTTTGAATACTTATTTCACAATTTCCCTTCTCCTTCAAGTGTTCATCCCCAGATGCCTAGTGATGCCGAGTGACTGCATTAACCCTTCTGCCAGCTAACTGACCCACCAGAGAGCTCCGCTACACTAATATATGCACTGATGTTAGTAGCTCTCTAAGATAAGTGCATTTTTAAGGCAGTCTTCAATGGTCCACACTAAAGGAAGTACTTCAGCCCCAGCTATGTTTGGCTTTTTCCTTGGGCTATTGTCTATACAGAACAGAGCCTCAGACCACTTTGAAGAGCCAGAGACATTCCTAAAACCCTGCAATTATGAGGCTCCCAGTAATAGCATAAAGACCAGTCTCATGCCAATATTTCCGCACAAATAGTTCAACCACTTTTTTTTCTCTTAACACATCTGCTGTAGGGTTCTCCCCTTACCCCCTTACCCACTGACCAATCGGCTGGTCATCTCTTAGTCATGAAAAGTGAATGTCATTCCCTGAAACTTAGTGAGCAGGAAAGAGAATCTGAAGACTGTTACCCGTTTGACTCGAACAAACAAATGCTTCAGTTGTACCACATAATAGAAAAGAAACCAGACTTGGTGATTCTGTGATAACAAAATAAAGAAATTTGGGCATTACAATACCCAAAGTGGATTTTATCTTGCATTAGCCATTTGTGCTGCCTATTTAACCTAAATTAAGCAAATAATGCTTCATGAACATCTCCCCACAACAGCTCGAATGTATGCAGACTCCATTGTCTGAATATTTGAGGGAGATTTTTTTCTGTCTTAAACCACCTACACAATTTCCTTCCTGTCTACTCCCCACTGGGACCATGGGCCACCCGGGAAAGGCATCACATTCCATCAGTCTCCTTCCAACACAGAAATTCAACAAAAAAGAGCCAGCTACATTGTTAACACTTACTTATGTGACATGGAAATCCTGACACTGTTTAACTTGTAAATATTTCAAAGATACCCAGGGAAATTTTTAGAGAAAACCTGAGCCAGGAAGAGTACATTATGTCTTCCTTTATTTTGCGTTGTTAATACATGTATTGAACACAACGTGTCATAAGGATGCCCATGACCATGGCATAGCCTTTGCCTTCAAATAATTCCTGCTCTAGTAGGAAAGGCAGACAAGATAACACCAAACATTGCAGATGCTGACTACGACTGTACATAAAAATGCGCAGAGAGCTTTAGGAGTAGAGGTGGAGGTCCCTAAAGAGCTCTGTGCAGGGGTCGGTCAAGGAAAATGCAGTTTGAGTAGAGGGCGGGGGAAAGAGCTTGAAGGTCAATGGCAGGTCATAGAAACTGTGTAATTCTTGAGGCTTTCACAGTAGTGATGATAAGGGGGTGTCATGTATGTATTGACATGGCTAATTCATTTTAAGAAGGGAAAGTACATGTAAAGTGATTTAAAGACATCCTTGAACCTGAGGGGTGTTTATACATGTTAATTTCGCCCTTTTAATATTTAAAGCCCAAGTGAGCCTTATTAGGGATCAAGTTTCTGTGTTTATGGATCTCCCAAGGCTGTTTATATTAAACACTTTATTTTTGGAATAGCTAATATTCTCCTGTATTTAAGTCTCTCTGCCATTAGAAAGCTCTCCCTTTTACACACTGTTTCCCTTCATGTCTCTGCTACCTGAGGTTAATAATAATGAGTCGATGTGAAACCTTCACAAAACACTTTAAATTGCCTTGGAAATGAAAATCTCAATTATTGAGATTAAATAACCCCTGTACAGAAAAATGAAGACTAATTTGGGGCTGCCAGCAAATTTAAGCAAAACAATATCCTGAAACATGGTTTTGGGTTTTTAAACATATCTTCAATTCCCATTAATATTTCCTGGCATTTTAACATTATTTTTTCTGAGTGAATTATAGCTACTTTCTTTGTCTTTTTAAGATAAATGGAGAAATGAGGACCATGATAGCCTTAGGATATAGTCCGAAGGGAGCAAGCCTTGGGATAGAGGCAAATAGCACCAGAAGCAATATGAGGAATCATTCCAGAAAAAATCACTAAGGAGAAAATTAAAACTTCACAGTTTTATGAGAGCTTTCTAAGACAAGAAATACTATTTTATCAACATGAGAACATACAGTCCTATTGATGTTCTAATGGAACTATACAGATGTAAACATACATACAGAAATACATATACATGGATAGATAACTATATTTACATATATACATATACATACATATATTTACATTATCTTACAATCTATACATACACACACAGACAGATACATTATCTATGTTACACCCATACATTATATGTATGTGTAAATATATAATTTTTAAAAATTTTTAATATTTATTTTTGAGAAAGAGACAGAGTGTGAGCAGCGGAAGGGCAGAGTGAGAGGGAGACACAGAATCTGAAGCAGACTCCGGGCTCTGAGCTGTCATGGGGCTTGGATCCTTGAACCCTTGAACCAGGAGATCATGACTTGAGCCAAAGTCAGACACTTAACCGACTGAGCCACCCAGGTGCCCCGGTGTGTGTGTGTGTGTGTGTGTGTGTGTGTGTGTGTATCTCACAATCATGTCACTGAGCAGTTGCACAGAGAACATTTTACATATTTTTTAAAGTTTATTTATTTTGAGGGAGAGAGAAAGAGTGTGCATGTGTACGTACACATGAGCAGGGGAGAGGCAGAGAGATTCCCAAGCAGGATTATCAGCACAGAGCCCTGAGCAGGCCCAAACCCATGAATTGTGAGATCATGGCCTGAGCCGAAATGAAGAGCCAGATGCTTAACTGACTGAGCCACCCAGGTGTCCCTCATATTCATAATTATGGGATCAAGAAAAGAAGAAACTATGAAATAACAGGTTGAAACATATCCCAGTTGCAGGTTATTTGGGTTCCTGAAAACTAGAGAACGAAATGGACTTGTTCAATAGTTGAAACGCAACTATTTTGAACACAAAAGACTGCTCCTGATCACCAAAGTACAGCTCCTGGGATTGATAATAATGACAGTAGTTGTTAGTAGTTACTAGTTTCCTGTTGCTACTGTAACGGATTACAACTCTATGAAAGCAACACATTTGCTATCTTACATTCTGGAGGCCAGAGAGCTGAAGTCAGTCTCACTGGGCTAACGTCAGGGTGTCAGCAGGACTGATTTCTTCTGGAGAATCCCTTTCCTTGCCTTTTCCAGCTTCTGGAGGCTGCCTGTATTCCTTGGCTCGTGGCCCCTTCCTCACCAAAGCGCATCACTCCGACCTCTGGTGCCATGGTCACATCATCTTTTCTCTGACACTGACTCTGTGATTCCACAGGCCCCATGAAAATAATCCAGGACAATCCCCATCTTGACATCTGTAAATTAATTACATCTGCCAAGTCCCTTTTGCCATGATAAAGTAACACTCACAGGTTTCAGGCATAAGGCGGACAGCTTTGGTCGGGCCATTGTTCAGTATATCACAAAAGGACAATAACCATAAAAGAGATCGCAAACCATAGAGAATGAAAGAAGATAAATAAAAGAGGAACTTGGGTAAGAAGCTTTCTACCAATAAACACATGTGTATTAGTGACTTAGTAACAGTCACAGGCAGAAGAAAATACAATGTATTATGTTAGCTGGAATAACGTGCCAAGAAACTCAACAGTTACAGACGCAGAATTAATTTGCTTACTTCCAGCTGCTACATTCATCAATGCCACCAACATTAAAGGTTAGGGTAGGAACTATAGACACACATCAAATTGCCACACA